ATCAGAACCCTTTCACAAAACAGGACATTTTCAAGGGCTCATGTGTGGAAGTACAGGGGCACCTCAGGCAACAAAATCAGTTTCAGTCAAAAAGGACCTAGCAATTTAATTTGACTTCCCACTTCAAACATGTTGCGAGCCCGTCTCCTCCACATCACTGCACTACACAAGTTGAAACTGATTTTGCCGCCCCTTCACTTCAAAGTAGTCGGGGTTCCCCGAGCAACAAACAAAAAAAGAGAATCAGTGTTGGGATTTGAAGGGGCGAGGAGGTTTGCTCCAACGCTCCGCCTGATATGAAGCTTGACCAATGTGTCGCCTTTTGATCCTGGAGGGTTTGCTTATCTCCCCATTCCCGACAGGAATATTCTTGGGGACGTTGAAACTGATTTTCACAGAGGGGCTGCCAAGAGTCGCAACAGGGAAGGCCTCACCACACGAAGGCGGGGTCGCCTCGCTTCCGTGCCTCCCAGAGGTTCCAGAAGACCAGCAGTTTCTGGAAGAGCGTGAGCCACGGCACTGGTCTTAAGGCCGTAGTGAAGCAAACCTCGAGGGCAAACAGGTTCTTTCACGTGGCCGGCTCGTTTTTTGTTGGGGAACCCTGGTTTTGGCTTCTTTGGCTAGGGCCTTAAAATATAAGCACGCCACCTGGAGGGTTCTCCAGATTGGAGACAAACCCATGGATGGCAATGATTGGTCACCTTCCAGGCTTACCGCGGGCCGGTCGGGAGACTCGCTTGAATCAACCCGAACGGAAAAAAGGGAAACACAAAGACGCAACGGCAGTCGCTAACCGTTCAAGTGAACATAGCACTGGCGAACAGTTCCCACGGCCGGTCTCAACTCCACATCACCCATTCGTACATCCTTTGGCGTCAAACGCACCAACATGGAACCCCCCCCACCCTGAAGAAAGCCCAAGAAACATATTTGGCGCCGGCAGCAGATTTAACCCAAAAGAGGACACCAGCTACACTCTTTGGTGGATTGTTGGTGTCCCAACAAGAACAACTTCGAGCTGTCTGGGAACCATTGCTTCTCCACAAATTCTAACCACTGGTCAAACTTTTTAGCAGTCAACCGGGTTCCATTTTTGATTACCCGAAGGTCAGCCCAATTCAGATGTGGTTCATTTCGCCAACAGGGACACTGTGGTTCATCCAACAAATGCCAGCCCTGCCAGCAAAACGCTCGCGTGTCAGTTCCGACCACGGAGCCACCGCAAAGTAGGTGAGTAGGAAGATGGCCACCATCGACCAGTGCCATGCCAGGACCTAGACACTGAACGGACTTCCCGCGGTGCCCTTCTCATTCCCTTGGGGCCCTTTCCATTTCCAAGGACCTGTAGTGCGGTTATCTCTGAACATGTCCTGTCTCTTCCACCTCGCTAATACGGTCCACAGCATGCCCCTGCAGTCAGGTTCCACGTCTGTTTTTGGGAGGGCAACACACCAACCTAGCTGTACAGGGTTGTGCGAGATCCAGAATATAGTATTCTTGGACGGCAGTCACCAAACAGCCGCTGCAAAGCTCCGAGTCAAGGAATTCCAAGCGGACCCGCTTATTTGCTTTGCACTGTCCCGGAGGAAGGCCACGCCCTGCCAGTCCGAGGGCTGGAGCATCTCATGCGCAATAGAACGTGTTAGCCAAAGGTAGCCAAAGTCTTGCCAAAGATTAGTAATTACCCGCCCACCAGCTAACATGGAAGTGCACAGACCCCTGTAGAAAGACTACTTTCCTCTTGGAAAGGGCCTGTTTGCACTTCCATGTTAGTTGGTGGGAGGGTAGTAGGACAATCGTGGACATCTGCGTACCCTTGCTCAAGCTTGATCTGGGCGCAGTGTCAGAGAGAAGAGATAAACATAACCACATATACTGTAGTATACTACAAATTGCACAGTGATTCACAGCGAAAGCAGGCCTCATGAGCTTGTAGCTCCCCAATGTAACGTTTTGATTGTACCAAAACACATTTGCGGAAATATATGGGAGCCAATGAAGCGGGGAACTGGAATGACACCAACCCCCATCCTCGCACATCGGGTTGTTCTGAGTGTTGTCAAAGCACTGGCCAAACCACCCAGTTGTTGCCCCAACCCATCCTTGCAAATGTCCTTATCCTGGCTCCTGATGCACCCCCAAACATCATCCCTCCAAAAGAAACTACACGCCCAACTTGCTAAGCAGGTGGTCCAAAATGGCTGACCCAAGAAGCACAACAATGGGACCTCGAGAACCAAGGCACAGCGAAGTTGATACCCAGCCCGGTCTGCGCATCCAAGACATGGGCCACTGACACGTCTGTCTTGCCCGCGAGGTCTTTGCCCTGGATCTTGCCTGCCAAAAGCAACTAGCACCCTAATATGGGGGGGCAAAGAATCGAGTTGAGAGTGTTATGGTCAATTATTATGGGAGTTCATGTGGACCCCGATGCAATCCCGGATGATGAGTCCAGGCAAATCTTAGATTCTTAATTACTGCTCAGGTCATACTGGGCGGGTGCCACGTTCTGGGTCCAACCCTGTTGAGCTTTCTGATCCACAGCTGGTCCCAAATGTGTGTCGAGTTTACTTCCCACCTACAGGGTCGACAGTGGGCGACGCCGAGCCTCAAGCAGCGAACTCAATGGACAAAGCGGCCCCATGAAAATCTGACTCAAGTGTGGCATGCTGAAACAAAAAAAAGTAATATTCGCCAACATACCGAGCAAGCACGGAGAAGACAATCATGAAAGCAACCAGGTTTTTAACTTAAAACGCAGGGATATATTGTTTTTGACCCTGCACCAGTAGTAACAAAGTATTCTAAAAGCATACTGGAAATTTTACAGAATGACCTTCTTGCACATGACACACTTAATGCATTCTACGAGCTTTATGTGGCACGTGGGATAGTTCGCTTATGCTACAAGCTTGCTCTGGGTGATTTTCGGCTACAGCTGCCTTCGTCCGGCGGGAAGCGTGCCCCCAAGCCCACGGTGTAGATGGAAGAGATATCCTCAGATGCAATCAATACACTCGTATAGGTATGATGTTGAATCGAGCGCCCTTTGGTGGGCATCATTTAAGGGGGAACTTCAGTCCACCAATCACTTTTGAGGTGGTTCCGTATTAGAATTCATGAGAAACCGACAATCTACCCCCTCAAACCGATCGGGGCCCACCCAAACCGATGCTATATTGTCCGTTGCTTATATAGATCTGGCACGGACCTTAAACTTGCCACACCATCGCCGCGGTTGGTTGTTGCTGCTTGGACGGCAAGTATATTATCTCTTCAACCATGAGGAACAGCCTAAAGTACAAGGGCAATGATTTCTTGTGCCTCCTGTATGCCACTTTGACTGTCTGGCCCGGCGTGGGTTCACTTCCCTTTAGCGAGGCAGTCCAACAGTTTGCCAAAAGTGGCGGGCCTTTTTCACGGCCCCCGCCACAAATGACAGCCAGGATCTCACAAATAACTAGCCCTTTGTCAAAATCAATGCCCAAGTTGGTAGGTTCAAGGGCAACTGCCCCACAAAACTTTGGTGCAAAATGGGCCCGGTAAACTCAACGGGATGAAGTATGCTTGTGATCCCCAAGGTTTGAATACTTCTCCCACGAAGGGACAACTTGAACCCATAAGAGGACAACCACGCAAATTCCATGACCAACTGGCGGGATGTCATTCCCATTGTCCCGTTAAGTTGTGGCATCCCACCCAAGACTTAACTTTCGGCTGGTTGAAAGGCAACGTGAAAGCGGCAAAGGGTTCGAACCGATTCGCAAAGTCGGCAATAAACATGGAGGCCAGATCCTGCCCAAATCCGCGAGGTCCGTGTGCTCGAAACAGGAACATGGATGCCGAGCAACTTGCTTGTGTTCTTTGGAGGGTACCGTTTCCAACGCTGCTTCCAAAGAACACCCCAAGGAACACCACCATCTTTTGCTGCAAGCGACGAACCGTGAGCCCAGGCTGCGCCACCACGACATCGATCCTCAGCCATGGGAGACTTGCCAAACATGCGAGCAATGCCGACCCCGGATGAACCAACATGGTGGATGAATACAGGGTGGCGCAAAGTGACGGATTCCCTCTTTGAATGGGGCAAATCAACCAGGGACTTGTGGCATTGTGTCCACAGTTTCAAGAAAAGCCGAAAGAACATGAATTTTTCTCTTGTTCTTTTTCTGGGTGGGTTCAGGATTACCAATAGCTCATCTTTGAACATCATCTCACCGAAAGGACATTGACTTCAAATTTGCTGGCTGGTGGGACACACTCGCTGGATTGGCGCTGGGCCCCAGGGTCCTGGCCAATGTGTGAAACCATCCACTGGCAGAATTGTCGAAAGCCCCATGTAGGTGCAACCATATGTGCCATAGGTTTCCTGAATCAGAATTCTTGCTGTCTAAAATCCTGCGGGATACCTGACCGTCGTATGATTGTACGTATGTTTGGCCGTTCTGTACATTTGAGCATAAGACTATTCGACCATGGTATATGTGTGTGTGTTCCGCTGTTGTAGATCCCTCTATTATAGGTATGTGTGTGGGTTCCTCTGTTATTTGTTTGACCATGGCACATTTTGCCATGCTAGCTCAGCCCAGCCGCTCGGCTCAGCGCAGCGCAAGGCGCGACCGACAAAGCCGCGCCACGCCCTTGAGCCAGGCGGGTTCTTCGGCCTCGCTGCTTGATCGTCGCCTTGCCCAACAATTTGAGTGTTTTGAACGTTAGGTTGAAGGGAAAAGGAAAAGAACACCGCCATTTTGGAGGTTCTGCTCCTGAATGGTGAATGGACGTGTCACACGCGCTAAAACCAACAAGGTAGGCGAAATGCAACTTAAACCCAGCTGGAAGGGCCGCCCCTCGTCTCTCGTCTGCAACATCGTCCCCCAACCCGGCCATTTTAGGTCATGAGAAGAACAGCTGCTGGTTTTCCAGGGGGAAGCCGACCAAGGAAAACCAGCTAAAACTGACCAAACAGGACACCTCTGCGACAGCGTGAAGCTGGACCGAGCCTGGCCAGAGGCTTCCTGGAGAGCACAAGTCTCAGGCTCTGAGACTCACTCTCATGATCCAGCTTCCTATGGTGCAGGGGGTGATATTAGATGGGTCCCGGGAACGAAAACAATATGGGTGAAGTGGCCAAATCCCGTCCATGGAAGCCCATCTCACGCTTTCGGGCAAAGGGGGGCTAGGGTTTGCCATATTTGCTGGTAAGATCACTTGACTTGATTGACTCATCAACCCAGCAACCCTAATCTTGCAAAAGACGTTAAGTCAAGAGTCAAGCCGTTCACAAGATGAGACCCCCTTTAGGGACGCCCAAAAAACAGGCGTCACAAAAAGACACAAGATGACACAAGAGTCCAAAGGTGCCGAAGCTTGCCGAACCTGCCAAACGTGAGGCAAAGTGCTCATGCTGCCGACTATGGAGAATGGCAAGGCACCATACTACCCTGAACCCCCCTACACAAACACATTGCTTGTTAGCGGATGATTGTTCGGTGCGTGGAAGACCTGGAAGCCCTGAATTTAACGCATTCTTTCTTGAACACGAGGACTTCCCTTTTCAAGCAAGCCAGTTTCAGGATGCAACTTTTACGCAAGAGTGGTTGAACCGACAAGGTTGCACGATCCAGAAACCTAGCAAGCCATCAGTTTGGAGGGGTCCAACATGTTTTGACCCCCTTGCGAGCAAGGGTCCTGGGAATTGCCCACTGTGATACCAATAAACGTCCTTGCAAATGACCAATTCTCCATTTGAAACGATGCAGGCCAAGTCTAGCCTAGGCGCCTCATAGAATGGGACAGCGCCTTTGAGGCATCGCCAAGAACTCGTGGAACTCGGTGGAGGAAACCCCCTCTTCTGGTAGGAACCTCAACTTGTTGAACGCAGTGCGCGTTGAAAGCCGAAACGACGACCCGAAAATCCGCATCCTGCAGGGCCACCTCCATGCCGTCGGCCTGGAGACTCCGAACTCCGAACTCCGAACTCCGAACCGGACCTGCCAAATTGGGCCGGGTTCAATGAAGCTGAAAGCACGTTTTTCCGCATTTGCCCGATTTTTTGGGTAGCTGACAGAAGAGAAGCTGACCTTTGAGGCATTTCCTTGTACAGAGGTAAAGAATGGGCGGACAAATGGGTATTCGACAAGTGGCTTGAGGGCGTGACTGATACCCCACAACTTGTGAAGGTCGCGAGCAACAATGGAGCATTGCCAGCGGCATCACGCTTCGCAAATGTGAGTTCTTTGCCATACCCTCGAAGAACTCTCAGCCATAAAACTTACAACGAATTGCAAACAACCTAAAATCCAGATGTGCTTGAGAATTGAGCAAACACCAGCAGGAAACTCGGGATGTGCAATGCCTGCTCTTTCAACTTGCCAATCATTCATGTCGTTCCCATGCTTCCAAGCATGCCCCGTTAGCCCGGTTGCTTTTTCATACTGTTTGAGCAAAGTTGGAGCTGTGGCTGGGATGCTGAGCTCGCCAGACTTCTACAGAGACAGTCGCGGGCATACTCCACTAAGTGAAATTATCAGCGCTAGCTCGTTGTGGCAACCGCTCCAAGCCCAGGAGATGTGACAAGCAGGTCTATGAAAACAAAGGTGCAAGCATCGAACAATTCACGCTTCATATCATCATGCTTGGCTTTCTGATCAAAAGTTCTCAAGCAAACTAGCTTTGTGAGGACAACCATGTGCACACAATGACTCATGTCAGGACACCGAAACACCCAGCTTCAGATGGGTCAAAACTGGTTGGTTGTTGACACTTTTTTTGTAAACTGATTGTTAAAGAGTAGAGAAACAATATGTCTCCAAAACGCTAAGGGTTGTAGCTCAAGCTGAAAATAAGCCAAGTAAGTAACTGCCAAACCAAGAAGAATTGGGACATCAAGCACCAAGGAGGGTGTTCCTTAAACCAGGGAGGGGGAGGTATAGCAACAACAACTGCGGCTTGGATTTCCGACAGTTATACTTTTTAAAACAAGGTTCCTCCAAAAACTACCCCCTCAAGGCTTCAAGGCACTAGAGAAATAACTATTTGTTTGTGAGGTATGTTCCCAAACAAAATGCTTGCTTGTATACACCTTCTGCATCCCATGTATAATTACATGGAATTCCTTGTCCGGCACATGCCCAAAAACTTGTCGTCATTTATGTTGATAGTGGTCAGAGGGCTTCGAGTTGTTTACTACAAGTCTTCACTGTTGAGCAGAGAACTCATGATTGGCAAGGCCTTCCAGCGGTATGAAAAAAGTCACCTCAGACAAACCGGCTTGCCCAAAGTTCCCTCTCGCCTGCAAACGCAGGTGGAGCTGTACTTTCTGGCCCTCCTGGCCGAGGCGAGGAAAGCAACTGCGTGCAGCCAAGGCATACTTTCGCACAATTTGAGCGAATTAAACAACATATTTCCCCGTCATCATGGTTGAGGTTGTGTTTCTAAGATCACTATGATTTGCTATGGCAAGCACCGGCTGACCTCATGATAAGCATCACCCTAAAGGCCTAGAAACACATTTGGGTGGTACAGGCTTTAGAATGACGGAGTGTGGGGTGCAACTGTCAAATTCGAGGTCTAGCAATGCAAACAGCGATCCATTGGCTTGTGGCTCCAACAACGCCCTGCTCTGCCCATCAGCCGGCTGAACTGAACTTTACGATCGACACTGGACAAGCCTGTGCCCAGCTTTCAACTTATCGCATGACTAGTCTGAAGTAAAACTATTCAGTTTCACACAAAAGCAAAACATGGGCCATTCCGCTCCCCAAACGGGCACCGTATTTGCCTCGAGTCTTGGGGAAGCTTCCACACCAGAAGGAGTGGCGAGCACAACCTGCTTAGATGTTCAACTTCTCCTGTAAGTACGTAGGTCATAACCCTTGTTATATATCGAGTGACAGGAGGTTGCCCACAAAGAAAGACTGGACTCATCACTGAATGACACCTCACTGAATGGCACCTCAAGGGCCCAGCAAAGGCAGGGCAAGGGGAGCCATTGAAGCCTCACTTTGACTGTTGGTGGCTGATTATTAGTGACGAATAGCAAGTGCCAGGGGCCATTCAGGACCCTTCAGGACCATATCTCCTTCGTGTGGCTTCCCTTGCTTTGGCTCTGAATCAGTATTGGACCATATTGGACCCCTGAGTGCCATCAGTTCTGAACAGCAGCCCTGATTGTTGTCCAACACTACTGGGCATCTGACGACCGAAAAGTGAGCCGTATTCTGCAGCCCTGCCTGAAGCTTTGCCTTTGCCATTGGCTGCACCTTGGCGCGGGCACCCCTTTTGAAAGGGGGCTCCATTGCAGGGGAAAAACGTGTGGGACATGCGAATGGCGCATGCAGGTCTCAAGGGAACCGGACGAGAGCTCCTCCGAGAAAGTCATGAATTCCCTTTGCAAAGGAAAATATTCTAGTCAACTGGTTCAAACCTACATGCACGAGCAAGGGTGAAAGCAGGCAGTGTCAGATTCAGGAACTGTCATCGGAGAGTTCCAAATTATTGGCTCACATCTTGTGAGGGTCGCAAACGAAACAAAATCCCGACAAAAAACAAACAGGGAATTGAAGGGTAGGGTTTGCGGCGGGGGGTGGGTTTAAGTTACCGATACTATCCTCTCACCTGCGGCGCATCCTGGGCATCCCGTCCGCTTGCTGCCAGGATTCTGAGCCGCCTGGCGGCAGGATGCTTCTGGATGACACACTTTCAGTGCTGTTCAAAGAGCTTCCCGCTCTGAGCTAGCCGCTGTTCAATGTCGTAAAGTGGTTTTCTTGCAGTTTGGTTGGCACATTTGGCACTCCCTAAGAGAGGCGGCAGCACCTGGACACACGTCGCATGTCGGAAGTTAAAAAGTCGTAGGAACTGGGTCGGGTCAATCTTGATATAAGTAAGGAAGCCCAATAAGTCAAATTGTGTAAATGGCTGATTGGGAACACCTAGTTTCTGTGAACATGGCGCGTGGACGCAAACCGGATTGCTGGTCAATGCTGCTTACAAATTCAACATGTTCATGACACAGGGGATTGTGTTTTAATGATGCACTCTTGGATGCACAGGTGTTGGAACTTCCATTTAGACATGTGAATATGTGGGATTGTCTTAATATAGGGGACCCCTAGAATTGGTGGTTCTCCTTGGCAAACCATTCACACACACACAAGAAGGTGTACCATTAAACAAAGACTCGCTCCTATCGGCGTCTCTCTTTTTTGGGGAACCCACTACCATGGTGGGTTCCCTAGTGGCCTCCCTTTAAACCAAACCAAAGGGGTACCCCCGCCGCCCGGCCAGCCCTGCGGCCAGCAGCCGCCTTCCGGCGCGGTGTGGATCCTGCAGCGGCCATGTGCGTCGAGCTCCAGCTCCTGGCGTTGAAAACGAGTCCAACTGGGCCCAACTTGGTGGTTTCCTTTTGCCTGCAAGATCCCAAAAGTGTGGGAACCCTCAAACAAACAACACAAACAAACAAACAAACAAACAAACAAAGACACACATAGGTTAGCTACGCCTTCTTTCCAACAATAATGGAATTGTGCAAGAGGTGGCAAACTACAAATCATCTTGTAAAAAGGTGCGCTGTTTTTCATGGCGAATGGTTGTTGGAAAGAAGGTACTCAAAATTACCTGTTTCTGGAGAAAAGGATATATACACCCCCTGAAAAGAAAACACACATTGCGAACCTGAAAAGACTTGCTCAATGAACCCAGTCTCACAGAAGGACCATTCCCCGGTTCATTTGCTCCCCGGTTCATTTGTTCCCTGATAGGTATCTGGTTGGTATCGTCTGGAAGGCTAACAGGGCCCTCCGAAATCCCCTTGAGGGCCTCAAAATGGATACGAATCAAGACCAGTGCTCCACGCTGGCGAACTCGCAGAATCTAAGTCAGCCCAAAAGCCCATACCTCACCTAGGCAAATTGTTGTAATGCCTAAGGCCCCCCCCAAGTGGTAAAGCATGGGCTTCTTCGATTGTTTTTCCCCCGATCGGTGCCCGCGCTGATCCAAACACTGTGTTCCTGTTATCGACAAACCAACAACAGGGCTTCTTCATGCTCTATACATGCAATTGCGAGACAAGGCTGTACAAGAAGAACTAGTGCTTGGTACCCGTCGATACATGATGAACACTGATACTGGTTTCCGCCCCCCAAACACCTTGATACATATATCCCGCAAGAAGCTGAGCTTGCCGACTTCCAGATGCTCACTGTCAGGCCACTTTCGCATTGAAAGCAAAGAGAGTCCTTGGCTTTGGTTCTCTCAGATTGTCATCAGCTTCGGTATAAAGATTTGGAATCTTGACGCCGACGCTGAGAAATTGGAAACACCTGGCCACAAAGCTCGTGAGTGTCTATCAATTGAGGCAACATGCTTTGGTTTGCTCAAAATCGCACTATCAAAAGGGCCCTTCTGCGCATTCCGAATGATGAGATAACCCCGTGTCAAAGGTCATTTGTTGGGGCCGCCTCAGGTCATTGGTTGGGACTGGGAGCTGAGGTAAAATCCGTCAATTGACCTACAAGATACGCTGCTGCCTCGAATGGGCATGAGAAAAACCCGGATCATTGAAGAATATCTTCGATCGCAACAATTGCAGCAATGGAGAAAGGGTAAGTCACAATCAGACCCCTGCTACCCTTCATCTACCCTGCCACCGATTGCCGCTCACATTGGCTCACACTGATGGACATCGAGGTCGCGCCAATAAAACATGCCAGGTGTGCCCACCAGAAAACGAAGGCGTGCGCTTCACCAGTCTGAGCCAGGGCATTCGAAACGAAAGGTCAAAATCGCTGCAATGCCTTCATTAGAACCTGTTTGATTGGCTGTGCTTGCATCGGTACTCGTAACGTCTCCTCCATTGATGATATGGTTGTGACTTAAGGGAGACAATCCGAAATGGCAAGGCCGGTCCGTCTGAAACAAACGAGAGAAGAATCTGTAGGATATCTTAGCCCCCAACTGACGCAATCATAAAGTGCTTCGTGCTGCAAATCAACAAACGAGCGTGAACTTTGTTCTTTGCAGTCATTCTTCGTGGAGCGCTCCCCTTTTCGGGGTTGATGGCAAAAACAAGGGCAGGCACCCATGTTTTTGCTACCCCTCATTTTGAGACAAACAAAACGCGACATTTCACAAAAACGCCCTGAGCTCGTGGCTCTACACACCGAGAGCTCGATAGGGGGATCGATCCAGTTGCCGAGGTTGCTGTACCTCAGCCCCCGGACCAACAAAACATACATGTTGCTCAATCCTGCCTAAGATGCCCTCCCCAATTCAGAAAACGTGGGATAAAGCCACCCTCCACATATGATGTCCCATGAAGGGAGCTCATGTGTGAGAGGGCCTTTATTGGGGGTACCGCCGCCTCCACACATCACCCAGCGGGTGGCAACAACAAAGTCGTCCGCGGACTGGAGCTTGCCAAAAGATTCCCGCCCATGAGAACTGGCATCAAAACGGGTTGGGTCCAGTTGGTTGGCTGCTTGGACGCTGACAAAAAAGGGGAGCAACATCAAACACTTGCCACTAGTATGGCTCCAACTGGGCTTGGCAAGCTTTGGAAACATGCGCGTGCTTCCGCAAGTGCTGGTTTTCCGGTGAGTTCCAAAAGGCTCCAAAATGAAGCGTAATTAGCGGCCACATTAAATTCGAGCTCGAGCTTGGCATGAAGCGTAGCTTTTCCCAAACAACAACCCCAGATTGGGGCCAAAAGGGAGGGCCCCAGAGTGCTGCACCTAACTTTTTAGAGCATCATCTAAAGTTCCATCATGCTCGGTCCCTTTCTGTTGGCTTGTGGACCGAATGTGTGGGCCGTAACGTGCTGAAAATGGCTTTCCTAGAAGCAAACCAACCGTGTCAGGCCCGTGTTGGCGCCCAAAAACAAATGGCAAAAGGCTGGGTGTCCCCAGTCGTCCCTAATCCTGCGTGGGATTCTACGCAAAGGGACACCCCCATTTGTTGTAGAACCCAGCCAGGCAAGTCACACTGACTCTCCAAATTTCTGTTTACAACGATATCACCCACACGAGAAATTAGTTTTGAGAGCCCATTGTTGCTTTCAGGGACCCAACAAGGGGGGCTCTGATAGGTCTCATTTCCACTCGAACACCTGCCAGGGCTAGCTGAGATCTGCGCAAGTATTCGATCTGGTGGAAATCCAGGGTCACCTCACAAGCTTTTGATTGATGCCCGTCCCTTGGCATCACAGAAAGGGTCAACCTGACATCCTATTTCCACAACCCTGGGTTGGTCTTTGACCCCCTCCAAACAAATGGTTGATAGTTAGGAGTCGAAGGGTGTAAGGGGAACCAAGAGCTGTGGTAGTATGTTCAAAAGTTGGGACTAGCATCACCTCCCGAGATCGGCTGAAACCGCATCTCGCTCGTTTCGAGTTTCAAAGGCCGGATGCTCCAAAAGCGCGAAGAACCGTACTTGCAACATTGACTAGGAATCCACCCACCTCAAAGCAGCTTGGTGTTTTACGGTGTTGTGTGCTGCTTCTCTTCAGGAAAAAATCTTGAGAGCATGAGGCTATAGACCTAGCTGTTTTCGTGGAACTCATTCAGACTCGAACTAACTCATTATGGCTAGGATTAAAAGAACCGGCTCCACGACACACACACACACACACCACACACACCCATATGCACAGTCTTCACCCCAGCAGACCTCGTGTCACTCAATGATGTGGCACGGTGTCTCCCTCCTTTTGAGATTGCCTTGAGCGTTGAAAGTGGCAGCTGATGTGTTTCCCATTGATACCTCGCCTTTGAAGTTTGCCTTGTGGGGGAACTGCGACTTCCCCACTTTTTGGGAATCAAAGGCACATCCCAAGGCAAGGAATAGGCAAGGCCCCTTGGGCCCTGGCAAGCTTTGCAGCTTCTGTGAGCTTCTTGTGAGGCACTGCCCACATAGTCTCGCAGGTGTAGCGCTCACTGGCAAGGCCGCAAAATGTCCGAAATCACCACCGGAGCACGCCGAGACTCCCAAGTGTATTGCCAGCAGCACACACACACACACATGCGGACAAGGCCGCGCGTGAGCAAACCAGGCAGGGCTGAACACAGCAGCTGCTCAAACATGTCACAAAACTACAAGCCATGGGTGCGTGCGTGTCCGTGTGAGTGTGGCGTGGGCGTGTGGCGTGTGCGTGTGGCGTGTGTGTGTGTGTGTGTGTGGCGTGTGCGTGTGGTGTGTGCGTGCGTGTGTTACTGCGTGTTTGTAAGTGTGCACTGAGTGAATTTGCAAGTATCTGTGTCTTTGTATGTGTGTGTGTGTGTCCGTGTTTGTATGTGTGTGTGTGTGTCCGTGTTTGTATGTGTGACGCGTGTGCGTGTGCGTGTTTGTTTGTGTGTCTATCTGTGTGTCTGTTTGTCTGTCTCTCTCTGGCTGGCTGGCTGTTTTCTGTCCGTCTGTCTGTCGGTTTGTCTGTCCGTTTGTCTCTCTGTCTAGCTGCACGTGTTTGTGTTTGTCTGTGTGTTGGGGAAAACTGGGGGCACAGGCGTGACGGCAGCGAATGGACAAACGGACAGTTGCCGGCCTATTTTGCAAACGCGCACCAGCAAGCGCGGCCTCAGCAAGGCTCTCATATGGAAACCCCAGTTTGAAGTGGCAACACGCCATTCAAAGACGAAACCACTAAACGGAAGAGAAGGTTTAGCTCATTGTGCTGTTTCGTCAAGACTGGACAGGAGAGGCCAAGCAAATGGAATGATGGAAACACACGGCTTGTTCAATTTCTACAAACATCGCAAAGAGCCCCAAAATACATTATATGTGCTGGCCACAGCCCTTGCCCTCATCGGGACCACGCATTGCTTTGTTCTTCCACACCATGACACCAAATGTCACCATATGCGTTTCATCTGGTTCTTGACCTCCCTCGTATTGCCAATTCATCAGCTTCTGTGGTATCAAAAGAACTGCTCCCTCCTGCCGAAACCAACATGAGGACGTTTTTGGCTGGCGGGCTTTCAAGGAACCCGGGCCAACCACCAGGGTGCCTAGCATTTCCCTTGACACATCTCGCACAAAAACACACATTCTGGGTTGGCAACCAAAAGCTGACGCCAACACCAAACATAGGAAACATGGGTGCTTGGCATTGCTGAAAGCAAACGACAGTCGAAAACGAGCTCCGTAATTCCACAAACAAAGGGTGTGTCTCCAACTGGCGAACCCCTTTTGTATCCCAAACAAACCCAGCATTAGTCTCAAGGCAACACATGCCCAAGTGGGCATGAACTCTATTATCGAGGACTGCTTGGTGCACATCATGTTTCGTTCATCATTACCTCACACCATGAAGGCTATACACAAACTAGGTCTGGACCTTTTCAGAGTGGCTTTTGATGGTTGCGCCCGTTCTTCCTGGGGTACGATGTAGGCGCCTTTTTGCAGAGCTACATACCCGGAGACCCCGAACCGCTCCACTTGGAGGCCGCGGCCCCGGTAGGAGATCGCACCGAGAAGCGGTCCAGCAGGCCAGGGGCCTGGCTCCAGCGGGGAAAAGTCTACAGGGAGCTCCTCAAACCAAAGCGGAAAGAGGGGAGTCTGACCTTCCTGCCTTCAGTGGCGAGACCCAAGGGCAAATGGCATTTCGGACCCTGGTGGCCGCCGTCAGTCAATGGGGGATACCAAACTGGACCCTTGAATCTCGGTTGCTGGCGAGACCCCCTCTGCCAAAAGTTGATCACTTTTTTGTGGGACCGATAGAAAATCCACTGTTTGGCTATAGGTTAAAAGTCCGTAGACGCAACTAGATAGCCACAAAGCTGTGGCCTGTCTCCTGCAGCAGGGTGCTTAGACACATGAACACAAACGTTCCCAAACGTGGAATCCCAAACGATAAGGACAACCTTTTGGCTGGCGAATCCAAGAATGTGAACAGGTTAGCAGTGGACATGTGAGGCGTTTGATGGACCTGTTCTTGGGACTCCAAACCACAAAAACAAATCACTGGTAACTGCAGTTTGGGGGGGGGCCTTTCTCTTGGGTCTGTCTTGCACCTTATTTTAACCCAAGTTAAAGCAGGAGAAACACCAGACACCACTGGATCCATGCGTTTCCAACAGGGACCCGTGGAACAACTCGCATGCCAACCAGATTCATCAACCTGGTGGATTTAAGGGGGCTTTCCCAAAAAACACATCCGGCTCCCCTCTAAAATGGTTTGCACCACAACCAACCACGGGATGTGACAAATCAACCAAATGTCCCTCACCCGCTTAACTGGTTTTCACCCCTCCCTTTTGGCTTGGTGGGTTTCCACGAATCCAAACCCGCGACGCCTCGCCTCCACCACCTGCCCGAAGAGCGTGGCCCTGGCCGGCACCAGGATGCCGCCCTCCTTGAGCAACGCCTCAGTCGCCCTCAATTCGCCCCGGAAGTTCGGGGAATCCGGCGCGGGTTTCGACTCACCGGGGCCTACGGAGGGCACCTGTGAAGGTCCTTTCCCTCCAACCCCGTGTCAGGCGCTAGGGGGAGGGTACCGCTGTCGTCAAAATAAGACCTTGGGAAGCCAAGGAATTCGATGGTCCCTTTGAAGCCAACTTTGGCCAATTTTGGCCATGGGCCCAAATCAGGAACCCTGGATCAAATCCACAACCCCCACAGAAATGCTGATGTCTACTTTCACTTGAAACAGTCTCCGACAAACAAGCAATTCGGGAGGACACTTCAGTGGATAATGGGGCGTAAACCTGAAGAAACGGCCCTAATCTTCACGAATTCAAGAACAAACCACCCGAGGATAAATCAGCCATCCGATATTTGATTTAGCGAAACCGCCAAAGATGCAGGGAACCGGAGTTGTTGCTTTTTGTGCCACATCGAGGGGCTGAACATACCCCTTGCATTTGAGACTTGTAAGCGGCAGGGCGGTTTCTGCACGCGTCCCAAGCTTTCCCGACTTGGGCAAAGGACATTGCAAGGCAAAAGCGACAAGCTCGTTTCAGCGTGCCAAATCCCGCCAAACCCCAAGCAGTCCACAGGACTCCTCATGTCAGCCCTCCCAACGGCTGGTTCCATGCTATCTGTTGCCATAACGGGAACAACTCGTTCTGTCAGATGCCCCCCCCATTGAATCCAAAATGTTGATTGGTGCTTGTCGAAATTAGGACCCTTCAGGCGGTTGGTGTCCTATTGATTTCCCCTTGGAGCATCCAAACTGGGGACCTCCAGCCTGAGAAACACCCGTGCCCAGTTCCAACAGCAACGCCAACCCGCGACTCTCGACACGTCCGCCCACATCACGCGTCGCCTCGCCTTTTTGGCATGAAGCAGCGTTGGCAGCGCGTGCCTGAGCGGAGCTCTTTCCGCAGGTTCATGGAAAAGTTGGCGGCTTCTGTGTTGTGCGCTTTCTGATAAGAATGTCGGGCACTCTGCCTTCCATCAGGTCGGCAGGGCCAATAGCAAGAATCTTTGACTCCCCGTTCCAAAAGTTATGTGTTTTATTGCTAGGGAAACAATCTTGAGTCAGGATTCAAAAGCTTAAAACAGTAAGCGGTCGTTCCAATCGCAGTCAAGCAGTAATTCGCAGGTTTAGGGATCAGCATGTGACGTGTCAAGCGGCACAGTGCATCACCCTTCATTCGCTTGATATGTTTCCGGGAAAAGATCCTTTCGGTTTCCTTTTAGACGCCATCTGAGAAGGGGTCCAGGGGTCTCCCTGATTTTGGAAACCCAATGCGCCTTCACGTTGCTAGTACAATGAGTCGGTCCCTTGGCCAGTCACGCAATCTGATCCAAAGAGTACCCTCCTTTCCAACACTCCCCTGCAAATGAGCATGGGCTCAGGTTTCTAGAGGTTTCACGTGAATTTGCAGCTGGGGTTACCTCTTGACAGTGGAGCACAACACAACCATATCTCGAAAGAAGAGTTGCGCTTCAAAAAGTGTTTTCAAAAGTGTGTAGTGTCTGCCGCTACGCCCGCGGCCCCTGGATGGGACTCGTGACTCTGGTGATCTTACTTCTGGTTGAGTGCTATTGGCATGAGTTCAGAGTTGCGCTTCTCTTGAATAAATCGGGATGCCTTGCCAACTGGTCAAAGTGTGTCAGCCTCCGCAAGAACAAACCCTTTGTGCTTGCCAGTACGGCTTGCGGTGTCAGCCAACCCCCCACCCCCCAAAAATACGCCGTACCTGGCAGAAAAAATGTAAGATGCTCTCTGGGGCCAGTGCTCCCCCAGAAGCCCTGCATCGAAGACCTCGCAAAAGATCAGGTCGAACTTCTCCCTGGGCTGCAGGGAGGTGCTGACCTCGGAGCGAAACCCAGTAGCTTCTGTTTTGACCGACATGGTCACAAAGGTGTTTTTTATAGCCCTTACTATAAACCTCTTGAAGCCAGGTAGAACCACCTACTATCGCCAATGGGCAATAGGGGTTTCGAGCGCCACTTGTTTGGAGGTTGTCAAAAGGCAGGGTATGGGCAAAGAGCAAACTCCCAGTGGCCGTGCGTCAAAACAGGATCTCCTCTTTTTGGCTCCTTGGGTTGTGCTCATGTCAACCAAAGGGGAAGCCATCGGAAGACAAAGCCAGGTCGAAGGGGCGCCTCCCAGATCCAGGGCCAATGCCTAGCTATCAGTTGTTCAGTGGCCCGAGTAGAAAAAGAAGTGACACCTTTGCTTGGATTGACCGCTTTTAGTGGAAAACAAAGAAAATGTGATTCACCCTCTTTCCAACCATCATGCAAATGGACAAGACGCCAAAGAGGGAGGGTGAAATCCACTGAACTGCACTGAGCACAGGGCCACAGGATGCACCGTCACGGGACAGCAACTTTGGCTGGCGGCGATCACCTAACGCTTCCCCACGACTCCGACCGTTCCGACCTCAGCTCTTGACCCACCAAACATCGCCTTTTGGGTTCTGGCCCGTGTTTTTTTAGTGAACCTTGACATATCAAGTCACTTTGAAAGAGATCCCGGTATTTCCATCTATGTAAACACATCACCCGAAAACGACACTCACTTTTGAAATGGGCTCTTGAAAAAGGTTATAGTTTACAATCAACAGAAAAGGACACAATAGAATCGAATCGAACTCCGCCACCCAAAGAAAGAGGAATGAACATTTTAGCTCATCTGTACCTCCCAGCCATTCTAAGTCCAGGGATCCGATCTTTGAAACGATTGCCAGCACCATGGAAAATTGAGGGAGCTTCCTCAAGAACACTTCGTGAGCAAACCGGGGTAAAACTATTGCGCAAATCGGATGGCCCTCCCAATTTAGTCATATGAGCGGCAACATCAGCAGACCGTCCAATTTTGTTAATGTCCACCTCATAACAGTCGATACACAAGCCTCTGTGTCAAACAAGTGAAACTTTGTCTACCGGGGCATGTCAAACAGCAATGGGACTCCCAGTCCAATTCAAACAGCAATGGGGATTCAAGTCCCATTCCAACTAAATTCTGTGGTTCTGGGCATGTCCAACAGCATTGGGAGGAATCATCTTTGTCACCAAACGTCCTAGAAACGGAATGTCCCAGGCGCGTTCTTTGTCTAGCCAAATGGCGAATTCCTACCCAAACATCCAGCGGAATTGGGGAAAACGAGATCTTTTTGTTGGCCGACTTTTCAGGGACGCCCCCTTCCAAACCGCGAAACAAACACAACCTCAGGTTCCAAAAGTGCAACTCTGGGGACTGGAAAGGGGGGATGGCAATGGTCCACTCAGTGAGACCTCGCCTCCCGGGCCACGGCGCACAGTGCATCGTTCATCTCGCAGGCGTGGACTTCCCGCACGCCCTCGTCAGCCCGTTACGGACGGTCTGCCTTTTGGACGTGGTAAACACGTTTAAACTGGCGTCCCGACTGCGTCCCGGATCCCGATTTTCCCAACTTATTCCGTAGTGGCACACCAGTGCAAGGGGAAATCGCTCTGGCACAAGCACAAAGGATTTGTTTAACCTTACTGGGTGCTAAATAAGGGATCTGGAACAAACATATCATTTTGGTCGCATTTGGGTAAATTAAACAAATATGGTCTAGATAGCGCGCAGTTTGCTACCTTCCCACCAACGCTGCCATGGAAACATCCGAATGCCTGTTTCAAAGAAAAATGGGACCAGGCATCCCAAGTCAGGCATGGGCACTGCCATCGGGGAGGCCAAAAACCACCCATCCTGACTCCCGACACTGATAAAATTCGGGGATTCAAGGAATGGCCAACAGGCTGTCTTGTAAGCTGCCAATGTGAACTCCCAGCCGAACACCCAGATTAGAAAGGAATTGCTTTGTGGGGGAAATCCCCGAAAGTAAGCCACCCACATGCGTCGCGCAGCTCGGGGGTGTTCTCTAGGACGACTTATCCTAGGGGGGGTGCCAGGGCTTTCCAGGTTTCTATCATTGAATGGACAATATTGTCAAAATGGGTTCCCCAGGGTCCATTTTGGGTAACACAGCCATGTCGTGTTCACTGTGAGAAGTAAACCCACCACTTCAGCAGGCCCATTTCCATGCATCCCAGCAATGAGCAAACATCCTGGCAACAAAACACGGATTTCTTGCCCTGGTCTTCCGAATCTGAGGTGAACAAACCCAAATGCTTCACCAAAACCGCCATTTGAGTTTCCATGAAGGAGCCACTGCTTTTTTCTCACAACTCAGGTGGAACACTGCGCTTCGCCTTGAAAGCCTTGCGGTTCAGGTAACTTGCGAACACCCGACAATATGACCACCGAAATCGATAGGGGTGTACCCAAAACAATACATGCCAACCCGAACTGATAGGGCCCCACCCAAAGCCGATTCCCTGGTAATATTGTCAGTTCTTCAAGTGAGCAAAGGACACAGCCGCAACTGCAGTGGCTAACCATGGGCCAACGGTTTAGTGAAAGGTGAGCAGTGTGCAAACGCGCCGTTGCCGTGGCCGAGAGGGCCTTCAGCCGGGCGCACATCAGCGAGAGCCTGGGACGGGCGTTTCCAACTTGAGTAAGCCGCCAGTTGACAAAAATGGTGCCAAAGCAGCGTCTCCTGACAAAGCGTGCAAGATTCTTGCCCCAGTTTACCAAACACACTTTCAACCGGTGGCGCATCGTATGTCTAGCGAAAGCTGCCAACACCGGAGTGCAGCGTCCGGACCTACGGGCCAGTGAGCTGAGAGTTCAACCCAGAAAGCAGGCATTGGGTTTCCTCGAGTACATCTCATCGTGTCTGCCTGCTCCCATGGGCCTTTCGGATTGCCAGGCATTCCATTCGGGTTTTGTTTGCGGCATGGGGGGGGGGACTGTAAAATGGGTGTGGGTGGTTTCGCCTGGGTGCCCTGGCCCTCCTGAAAGCCAGACCGAAGGTAGACTCCTCGTGAAGCAACAGCTCATCTTTGCGTACGGGTAAATCCCAGCGAGACAGGTCCAGGGGACAACTTGTCGCCATCCAAAGGGATGCAGGAAATTTCACGCCAATTTGTGGAAGGCCGACAGGCAAGTAACTGTCTTATTTTGAGTGTGCCCCCGTTTTGACCAGATTTTCTACTGGACACCAAACAAGGAGCATCCACCATTTTGGGGGATCCCTCCAAAACAATGAGAGTTTCACACACCCAGCTGGGCGGTCCCTCCGGCTCTCCGAAGCGGCTGAAGCCGCGTTTTAGGGCCCCGGCAGGCCAGTGCCAGCGCCGATGTCCAACGCCAGGAGGCCCGTGGGCGCCTGAAGCAACCGGGGACCCCCCGTCGTGTTCTCCTGACTCCCGTTGGAAATGGTTCCCTTCGTTGAGGGCATTTCAAATGGAACCTGACCGGGGGTCCTGGTTTGGACCATCTTCCATGTTAAAGGGACGGACCATCTCCCTGTCAGGTTCCATGTTGATTGGTGGGAGGGTATCCTTTTCGGAGTTGGCTGAAAGGGACCTCAAAGCACGCACACAGACACGGATTGATGTTGAACAACCCGTTGTTGTTTGTTTGGAAGGGACAAATGTGTGGCTGATCTAAAAGTATACCTACAGTCCGTCATGTCGTGTCTCGGAACAATGATTCATAACCATGGTTTCTACCTGCTTGCTAGAGAGCTTGAGCATCCAAGTTGCCCTGCCCACGAAAAAAGGTGGATGGATTTTGGATCAGCAATTCCATTGGTCCTTCAGGGCTCATGATGCCCACTTACAAGTATCGCGCAATCAAAGGCAAGCTCTACCAACATAGGCAAAAATGACACACCTGAGACCATGAGCTGGGGCCCTGGTTACTAGTCTGTGAAAGTGGGATGCAGGCAGCCCCTTTGGAACATAAATAGCCAAAGAGTCAGCTTTTCCACCACAAAGCCACTGCTTCCCTAAGCAGCAGGAAAAGGTGGGGTAAGCTGCAAAGCCCAACATCGACGACACCAAAACGTGCTGCTCCTGCTCCTGCTTCTGATGGCAATAAATGGATTTTAACATATTGTAGACGATACAGTAATACAGGTACATGCATGTGACATGCATATCGGTGTATTGTGTTGATCGTGATTCTGATTGCGTTCCTATGTATATGTGAATTCATACATATGATTTAATATATTATATCAAGTTATAGACCCATATGCCCGAACATGCACATATGCCTGCACATATGTAGGTGCTTTACAAACCTCCTGCCTGGGGCAGCAGCTCTGCCACCGCCATCTCGATGGCTCGGCCCTTGCACACATGGATCCATTTGGTTTAAAGGGAACCAACACCCTCGAATGTTGCCCGCAAATGGATGCTGCCCGCAAATGAAACGATTGCTCCCTGCTCACTGCAAAGCTGGCCTCCCCCCGCGGTCTACAGCGCACCTTCGAATCGCGACTTTAAGTTCAGAAAAAAGGCTGGTCACGAATGCACACCTGTGACACCTGTGCAATCCCCACCTTGCTAGTGACATTGCAAATTAGTATACACAAGAGAGACTGTACCGGATAAGCTAAAGTCATGCTGAAATAAGGGATCACCAAGAAGCGGACCCTCATCATCTTAAGCTCGTGTTGAGCTGGCCATACAATACATAAAATAGGCAATATAATGTATGGATGGAATGACCCCCTGCTCCCTGCCGCGATTCCTGTTTGGTGCCTTAGCATGGGCAAGGCTAAGCTGCAAGCGTATTGCTCCCCTCGAGGGACGTCATTGATCATCTGGAAGTGCCACCCTCGGGGGCAAGTACAGCCCTTTGGAATGGAGACGCTCTGGTCATGGATGTTTTGCGGGGTCCTCACTTTCATCTTTGAGCGGTGGTCAAAGCTGGTTCCACGATATTTCAAGGAATTGTCTGCCTTTGCGGACCCTGTCATCGGGGTTTTGAACGCTCATTTTACTTCCCTACCTTCATCTGGAATTCGATCTCTGACTTGGATTGCTCACTTCCAGGCGGCCCCCTCCCCACCTCCCCAAAAACGATTCTGGAGGTGGTGCTCACACTTGGGATTTCTTTTGGGCCAACGAAAGGCAAAAGGTGGTCCCCTGACATGTGCGAAATCACCCACCAACACAATCTAAGCAGCTTCGGAACAGTCGCAAAGCTGAGCCTTGAGAAAGCTTACTCTTGACCTTCACCTGCTTCTTGGGGGACTTTGCCCATTTTTGCCGCCTAGCGGTATGTAATTCAGCAGGCACACCGCATGAGTGCCCGCACCAACAAACAAAGAGACTCGGGGAGCGTTTCTGCTGCTTGGAGGAACTGTCGAATTTCAACCACAGCGTCCATGCCAGCACATACCAGTCCACGTGAACAGCTGCGATCTTCTGAGCCAAACACCCGGACAATGTTGTCAATTCCAAGGGCCCCGCCCACTGATCAGCAAAAGCGGCTTCCCTTCAAAGAACAAGCCTCCAAACATAGGTGTCCTTATAAATAGATGGGTTTCCCTGGTAGATGATTAAACCACCAGGTAAACCAGGAATCGCCATCTATTTTTCTACCAAACCAACCAAAAAGGACACCTGTGCCTCCAAGGGTTCCCCAACCTCAGGGCTCAAGGCCAAGCTGCGTTGCAGCGCTGCCGCGCGCAGGCCCTGCAGCGCCGCCTCCGCTCGGTCGCCTCGGTCTGACGTGCTGGGAGAAAACGATTTCTGGGGGTTGGCGGTTTCTGGCCAACCCATTTGGCCATGGGTCAAACCCCCGTACCCCCCTGCCAGTGACCATCCCAATCCCCACTAAAATAGACTTAAATGGGTGTGCACCTGTCCCAAAATGGTACTCTTGCTTTTGAACCATGGCCATTTCAAGGAATCCAAGGGAATCCAACCAATTGCTGTCAACAAATCTGACACGGAAGACTCCCCGCAGGTTTGGGGTCGGGGTTGGGGCCCTGAATCTGCACTTCGGTAGACCTCAGCTGAGTGTGTTCTGTATGATCCAAATCGTAGTTGCCCAGTCCCGAATGGTAGAATCAGGGAACCATTTCTTCTTGGGACTGACAATTTTGACTGGGGAACCCACTAAACAGAAAAGGGAGTAAGGGCACCACTGAACAATTGGGATATTAAATTTGTGGACATCGGCTACACGGGGGTTGATGCCCGCCAACTACTTTTGTCGGGGGTCTCTATTTGAAATTGATTCTTAGCTGCATCCCTGTGGCTCTCTGGCATGACGTTCCCATGCCTCCCAATGCGTCCAACCCCCTTTGAGCTCTGCAAATAACGCTGCAATTCGATGATAATTACACTACTTTGTGAGGAGCCAATTTTGGTGATGTAACTTTTACTCCTTGAGCAGGCTTGTCAGCCATATTCGATACGGATACTTGAGTGTTTTCCAAAGGCAAACGCCCCTTTTCGCCTGGGTCTAGGGTTGAACAACGGTAAGAGAAGGCAAACAGAGGTAAACGAGCGCAAAACATACAAGGGGGTGTCACAAAATCGGGAACACCCCAAACGGAGGCCCGTTTTTTTAAGGTTCCCGTTGACAAGCGGGAGTCCCCAAGCACAGGAACTTCATGGGGGAAGTCGCTCGTCTCTGAGCTCGTGACTTACCAGCACCATTTTGGCGTTTCTCAAAATAGATGTCGGACCCCTTTGAGTTGGTAATAAGGAGGGAACCCAACTGCAAATCGTTCCCATTGGGACCCACAGTTATTGAGAAACCCCATGTGCGGGTTGATCAAAAGGTCCCTGATACATGGGATGACACCACTAGACAGATTTCATATTTGCGACGTGGGAAAAACACTGTTACCCCTGGCCATTTGGGGGCCGAAGGTCGGGAATATTGATCAACCCACATGGCCATGAATTTCAACCGGGAACCCTCTGAAAAGTGGTTGGTGGACAGAGCCACAATGCCTAGATAGCCAAGTTGCTGCTTTTTTCAGTCACTGTTGCTGGTTTTTGGGATAAAGTTTATGGAACAAAAACGATCGCAACGGTCGATCCATGGGGCGAAATCGGAACCTCGAGGATTGAAGTCTTGGGGCCTGGCCGTTGGTGTTGCTTTGCCTCGCCAGCGCCTGCTGCCGATGGCCGGTTGAGAGCGGTTGGCAGGGCCTGGGAATCCTGGAACTTTGAGAGAACCGCGGGGTCGGATTTTTCCAGGGCCCCTTTTTGGGGGTGTCGTTTGGCTGTTGTTTTCGGGGGTTGCCCCATTTGGTATTTGGAGACACACCCATGTTACCAGCAACCATGCCCGGAAGTATCAACGGCAGCCTGGGCCATACACCAGCTGTGGTTGGCACAACCCCGCCCCCGCCCCCCACACCTGAGCCCGGCGAAGTGTCTGGAAGGCCGCGATGAAACGGCCCTCATCTGCCTCGGCCTGCGCCGATGCACCTCATGAGCAATCCATCCGATTTGGGCCCCAGAAATGGGTGCTCCCCCCTTGGTTTCCTTTTCAAACCCAAAGAAGGCACTCACAAAACACACACCCCATTTAAATAAACACTCGGCCAAGGGAGGCATTCTTTGAGAACGAAAAGGAACCCTCCTGAATGCGAATCCGCAACTGTGGCACATCATACAACAAGGGAATCTACGCCCATGTGGTATGAGGGGTTAAGGGTTAGAATTTGCAAAACCCAAAGTAGTGAAAAGGGAAGAACAGTCATTGGCAAAAAACCTTTAGGTACAGGACAGGAAAAGCACTAGCTTGTAACTAACCGTGCTTGAAGTGAAACCAAGCAGAAACCGGCATGGCTGCTTCTTGAAACTCAGTGCACACTAAGGACACGTGCAAAGTCTCGTATGGGTCCTCTAGCTCAGGCCTCCAGTCTAGGTTTGTTTTAGCATTCCCCAATTTGTCGCTCGACAAATTGGGTGAGCCAGTCCTTTCTGCTTGTGGCCCATGCCTGGCCTTGAGCAACTCGTCAGTACCCATAAAATGTTGAAGCTTCAGGGAAACCCAGTGTTTTAGGGTTGAAAGCCCACATCCTAAGAGTGGCTTCACATGCAACCTACAAACTCACAAGCTCCAAACTATTTTAACAAAGTAACCTCGCACTTGTCCCTTCCGTTGGCAACATGAAAGCGGCCTGCGCTGCGAGCTCTCAAGTCCTGCCTCTCCGAGCAGGCAAAGCAACGCCACAGAGGCCATCGGCCTGAGCAGGTCAAACAGGATTCCAACAAGAAACGGCCGTGGTACTTAGCATGGGTAGCATGGCGCTGTGGGGCTCTATTAAACCACATTACCTCATGATCATGGGAGCATCTTTGTATTTATCAGCGGCGTAGAGTACATTCTAACAATGCTGGAAGTGGACGGTCAGAGGGCCCAAGAGGAACGTAGTTCGCTTTCCCAAACCCCTCGATGGTCAGCTTCAACCATTGGAAGGATTGTACATGTCCCACATAACAATATCATCCAAAGCAACCTCCCGTTCGATTGGCCCTTTGAACAAGTGATGTCTAAAACAACAACAGGGGAACATAGGAAGACTTGAGAAAGTCAAATGAACATCGTGCCCCCATGGCCCCAGCGTAGATAGAAGCTTTTGAGGCCAATGAAACGTCAAAACCAAGGGCAAAAAACAAGCAGCAAGCTAACATTGGCCGTATGACGGCAAGTACCAACTATCTCCTCCCCCCACTTTGCCACCACCTTGCCTAAAATATGTCATGGCGAGTTATCAACACTCCCAAAAAGGGAGCCTTCATCATGGTCGCAAACCTCTCCAATTGTATGGAATTTGGCCGCCTCTCGTCAGGCAACTCCCCCGAGACTTGAACACTTTGACATCGTCCAAAGGCTTCTACTCGCCCTCTCCGAGCGCTGCAATGAGATCATCCTTGGTCCTAGAAACAGAGTCCTCGTGAAGGGTTCTCCTTTTTGGACCTTGCCCAAAAATGAAGACAATTTGGGAAAGCAACAAATCATCTCACTTAGCAGTCGCATGGATCACAAGTAGTTTCGCGTAAATCTGAGAGACTTCCGAGAGAACATCCAAGATGCGAGACACAAACACATGCACACTCGCCAGTGAGCAAAAGAATACTTCTAATCCAAGAATTGAGGTGAATCAAACAACCTCAACTTGATAGTGGCAGCCTGAACACGGAAAAATACTCTTGTCAATTCTAGAAACATGAACCCTTTTTCAGGACCCACCCTGCTTGCACCGAGGCGCCGGCGGCTTTTCGGCCTCGCGCACCCGCAAAACTGCAAGGGGGCTCTTGAAACATGTTACCAAATGTGCAGAGCAATTCTTGCGGGTTCCCCTTGAAAAGGGCCAGGAACTTGTTTTAACATGTTTGGCCCAATCACTAGTGGTGAATTGCGGTAGATTGCAGAGACCACGCCGAAATCGTCGGCCGCAAAGCTGGAAACCCTGGTGACAAAAGGGTCTTGTCGGCTTGTCGCCCGTGGAAAGGAATTAAAAACCATGCCAGAGCAAAGGAGGATCGTGCTGCACAGCTCTGGGGAAAAAAATACACACAAATACACAAACACACGCACAACAAAATTCATACAATGAATCTGGCCCTTCCTTTGGTTGAGAAGGTGAATGTTATCTAGGGTGGGCTGCCATGCTAATACAATATGTGTACTTCCTTGCTAATTTTGCAGACTGGCAAGCCGGAATTTCGTAAGCTCTGCAAATGCGTTGGCATCAGCTGCAAGCATTGAGTTTCTGGATACTTTGAATTATCGGCTGTAGAAGCATGTGCCGCTTGAAACCAGAGCAAACCGCAACAAACGGCAGCACAAGTCAATGGAAGAAAACCCTCCCCACGTCCCTAACACCTGGCAGCTTCCGATTCGTGGCTATCAGCTTCAAGGCTAAACGGCGTATGGGGGCATTAACCCCAGCCCCGTTTTTCTGATCTGCCCCGCAGGAAACACATCAACTGTCTACCAGTGGAATTCCGGGGGCCACGAGTTATGGGTTGTGCATGTCGAATGCTCGGCCGGAGATACCTGCAAGGTTGTCTTTGCCAAAAACACGCACACAAGACTATACAAAACACAACAAAACAACACAAGACCAACAAATGATGCAAACACAGGTTGATTTACACAATAACTTTTACTAGGCCGTGGAGGCTTGCTTAGAGTCTGAGAGAGCAATGGGTTGGGTTAGTGGAGGGATCGCACGATTCTGTGTCAAAACGGATCTAATTAAAGTGGATCCAATCAAAAGTGGAAGGCACTGGAGGTCTAAACCGGGTTAACAACTCGATTCGCGTTGGTTCCCAATCAAGGCAGAATGCTGAACCCCCCGCGAAGTGACCAAACAAACAAACAGGATCACGAACCTCCGAAGGAAAACCGCACGGGCTCTACGTATACGGATTCCCTTTAACCCACAAAGGAACTAAATGCGTGGGAAAGGGTCTTTGTTGTGCATTCCATACTCCTAAGGGTGTGGGGATCAAACGGGTCAAAATAATCTGTCATAAGCAAGGGTCCTATTCAATAGCTGGTCTTGTTGAGACCTTGGAATACTCTACCTTACCTCCATGCCATTGGGCCTGCTAATCTGGGACACTTTGCCAACATTGACATGCACATGTATGCCCACCAACCCAATAAAAACATCAGCCCTACTGTGGATGGAGAAATCCTGCACTACCTAAGAAACATTGGAATGATGATTCCCCTGCAAATACCAACAAACGATGGTTTCTCAGTGGTGCAGGACTTCGTCCACACAAAAACAAACGCGCTCTTTCGAGGCCCCCACGATGACCGCGGCCACGCTGGCCAAGAGCAGCCGCCTTGCGAAGTCGAAAGCGTGCGAATCGGTTCGGTGAGCACAGCCCCCTGACTTGTGTCAAACATGGCCCCAGATGCGCCCAAAGGAGTCACTGAAGAAACATGAGGCAAGCCACGCGATCGCCGTCATGTGGATCACACCAAAAGCAGTAGAGGGGCTGGGTCTTCCATATTCAGCTTTAGGACCCTGAGTGATTGGGGCGGCTTTGAAGAGAAAACTGGGGGATGCTTAGGCGGGGTCCGCATGTATCTCCTGACTAAAGGGCCGCCTCTGCTGGGATAGAGAAAAGTGTCAAGGGTACCGGGTTTCTCCCCTTGGCAGGCAAATGGTAAATAGCTGAAGCTGCGTTGTTCCGGACAGATTCAAGAAAGTGGCCGAGACGCTGAAACACTTCAATTCGAAGCATGCTTGCCCGAATTGGGTGCAAAGGAGAAAGCCACTTACCTGAAAAGGAAAAGGGGCCCTCCGAGTTGATCTGATGCAAGGTTGTGGTTGACAATGGTGATGGTGAAGCTGAACGAAATGTCAGCTTTCCCTGCTACTTCTAAACGTCGTGTAGTCATGCATCTAACTCTCAAGTCGGACGCCCGATAGAAGGTTCGTTTGGACTGGAAAATAGTCCACAAAGGTTGCCCTAAATCGAATCCAGCAGACTCAACAGGTTGAAACTGGGTAGTCTGGTCGTAGTCTGGTCCCCTAATTGACGGTCCTCCCTCCCTAATACTGAAAGAAACAACGTGTTCATTATTTGGGGGGGGGGGGGGGGGCGTTCCAGATTTGGGCTGCAACTGCTGTGTTTTTGCTGCTTGTTTCACTTCTGTGAAGGTGCGGTCGGAGAAATCGATAGTTTTGATTTGGTTTAGAATTGGCTGATTCCAATTTAGCATTGGACTCGCCGGATTTGCTATTTCATTTTTACCAAGGGGACCTGAAGGGATTATTTCAAGGAAATGACTCTGAGCAACAGCTTGCCTCGTCTTCGCTGCCAGGTCGGCGTTCTTAGGCACCTCAAAATATCTCAAGGGTTTGGTTCCTCGAACTGGTGATGTCTTTCCGGCGGGCAAGGTAAGGTGCTTCAACTGGCCAAGTTGTATCTTTTGAGGCGTTTTGAGTAGCCCGGATGTTGTCACCCCGCCCCCTGCCCTGCAGTTGTGTTACTTGACTCTGGGGGTTCTGGCTGGCCACCCCTTTCAGGAAACAAAGGGACCTCAAGGAGGATTGCAAGGGCCAAACAGGCAACCCCCACACATCAACAACTTGTAGAGCACTCCTGAACCCAACGGGACGCTGCTCTGGCTGGCATGAGAAAGGCCCTACGGACAGCGACGTCGGCCTAAACATGCTTCGTTTGAAACCCTCAAATTCGGCGCTTCCGTTTTAGTGTTCCGTTGAATTCTGTTGAATCCACCCAAAATGGGACTCCGATCCAGTTTTCAGACGCCCAACACCAAGCAGTATGTGACGTATGTGACACACAATCTTACAGCTTCTGGCAACTATGGAGCTCGACGAAGGGCAACGCAACTTCAAGCAAAAGCTTTGGGAACACCTGCGTAGAGGGAGGCGGACAATGACTTGTATGCATGTATCCTACATGCAACATTACGCCGCGACAGGGCCTAATTTTGCGATACCCTCCACTCCACCATAGACAATTTATGCAATTGCCCGGCTTTTATGGGAAGCTTCAAGCCCTCACAACAATGCCTTGAATTTAAGGGGAGAGTGGGGATGATTCTGATAAATCAATATCAACGACCCCTCAATCACTCAAAGGAACCTTGACGGGATCCTTTCAGTTGCGAACTCAAAGCCACTGGGTCGCGATTCAAGTTGATCAATGATTGGCAATTCGGGGCAGCCTCCGTCCTGTTCACAGAGTTCCCCAAACGATACCTCCGAAAATCACCAGATTCCTTGCTGGCAAGGTGATGCTCAATGCCAAAATGCTGCCCTCCAATGAGCCCGGGGCCCCGACGAAGGCAGAACCGCCACTGTGGCTCCTGGCTGACCAGTGGCACACCCGCGGTGCAGTTGCCTTTGACAGGCCAACCCATGAGGACTTCACCGAAAACACAAGTAGACACCAGGAGTTCCCCGAGCGCACAACAAAAAGGCAAGCACACGGTGCATGATCTTGCATCCTGGGAAGCTGTGATGTTTCAAACTAAACCATGAAACCCTACTGCCTACTGCAGCTGCAAAGCACCAACAGCTGGCTGCCTGCCTGTGTGATCATAATCATTGGCGACGAACAAAACAAAGGGCCACTGAGCAAGTGGCTTGGGGAGAAAGCAACGCCAAAAGGTTGGGATCCCCCAAACATGCCCCTCCACCTTCAGGGTGAAGGTCCCCAATCTGTTCATCTGGTCTCTCCCGCAAAATGGGCCGCTAAACTCTTAATGCGATGCCAGGGATCACCCCCCTCCCCATTTCGTGTTTTCCCAGTGTGGGCTTTCCCCAAAACAAGGTCGCGGTACTGATACTATGGAGTGTCTAACAAAAGGGTTGGTTTCAAATGATCAGCCGAACGGAAGCCACCGCTGTTGCCTGTTCCCCCAGCCCCTCATTAATTCATGTTTCCGTAAGGGGAGACCCAGTCCAAGAGTGGTGGAAGCTCTGGGCAACCTCAGGATTCGTTAGGAACTCCAATACCAAGCACCTAAATAACATTACTAGCTAAAAAAAAGAGTACATATGCACAAAATAGGGAACCTTGTTATTCTGCCCTTAGACGCCCCGCCCCTTAGGCCCTCTGCAACTGCACTACCGTCCTGTCGCCGGAAATGTCTCCGCTGGCAAAGGCCATCAACGTCTCCTCGCGCACAAAACTGCTCCATGGCGGCGCACGCCGGTTCTCAAGCGGTGGGCTTAGTGCGCTATGACAACTACCATTGTTCGCCTTACAAGGAACCTGAAACCACCATTCTTGCGGGTCCGAAACTTTGAGCCCAAACCCCACTGGGCATCCCACTGGAGCTTTGGGTCAAGCGGCTGCTTCCCCCCCCCCCCCAAAACCCGAAGCGCTGGCCTGCGAGAGCTCGGCCCAGAGCGCTGGCACCCGCAGAAGCACCGAGCTCAGCAGCGAGGCCGCCTGGAAGCTGACTCAGACCTACCTGGGGTTCAGAAGCCGATTCCCATTAACAGAATGGTCCAAGGGGACGCAATTTGGATGACATCTTTTAGGTCCATGAACGTAGGTATATTGACCCAACCATTGTTTTAATGGTGGTTTGAACCCAGCGGCAGTTTCAAGCGCGCAACTTGCGGAAGGTGACCATCTTGGCCACGGCTAGAAAGGAACACGGTCTTTGAACAGCGTTCAAAACCACAAGTACGCACCTCACCCAAACATTCTGCGTTGCCACCGACCGAAATTCATGAATCCTGGGACTGCGGCCTGGAGCCCAAGCTGGGTTACTTCTGGGTCAAGCCACAGTACAACCAGTGCCGAACCATCCAGCTGCCTTCTTCAAGGATGTGCGCAAGTCTGGCCCTCTACATCCTCAGCTTTAGTTGGCAAGGCTAAAAATGACATTTTCAGATTCTGGCAATCATACTTACCCTCCATCCCACCAACGTAGCAGTGGTGGGTACCGAGGGTAGTGGGCCTCAAAGCATGCTCTTCCTCAGGGCATTTACAACCGGAAGTCCAAGCCAGGTCCAAGCCATTTGTTTACCACAGCGCTCAATGTGGTCTTCCGACAAAGTGCAAAAGTGCAGCAACTCTTAGTATAAGGTCCCCTGTCAAGTGCCACGTTCGTGCGAGGGAGGGTAGTGAACCTCCACATATTGAAGCCCATGTCAAATGTTAACAAATCCAAAGAGGTGTCCTATAAGTTTCCCACTGGAACATCACCCCACGAAAAGGATACTCACTTTAAATCGTCAGAGGAGTCACAGGTATTCAAAACCAGAAGGACATGCAGGGAACCAAATTCTGCCTGCCCCAACTCCAAAATTTCTGGCCTCTGGCGCGCCCCGCGGCCTGCGATCGGACTCTGCTGGAAAAGAACAACACCTTGGTTGCTGTTGACCCCTCTGCAAAAAGTTTAACTTTTTTTGGGTTTAGTGGAAAAAAAAACCTTTATTTCCCAAAAAGTTAAAGTTTAAAGATCCAACCCAATAGCAGTCAAGACACAAGCATCCAAGACTAGGTATATTGACAAGGTCAAGCAGTCAGCTTTTCAGTGAGGAAGTGAGCTATGCACAAGCGTTGCATATCGATGCATCAGGGCATCCGCACTCAGAAGTCGGGCCAAGAAATAACCCGTACTGAAACCACCTCGCTTTGAACAGTGCCCACTGATTTCCACTGTCAGACTGTCACCCGAAAGAAGCCTCACTTGAATGAAAGACCGCAAAGGGACTGGGTCTGCTAGTGACATTCACCAAATCAGTCACCCTCGTGGCTTGCGCATAGTGACAACCCCCTTTAGTGGACCCAAAGGTTTCAGAAACCTCTGGTTTGCCTAGGGGCTTTGCCTGGGGTTCCTGGCCTCTCCTTCATCAGCTCCCGCGCATGCGCCACGGCCTGGTTCCGCTACATGTTCGTTTGCTTCAACCAGAAAAGGAATGCCCGAGAAGGGACCTTCAATGGTGAGCTCCTTTCAAGCTTTACTGAGGTGAGCTCGCTTGTTTGCGCAAACAACAAACAAGCAAGCAAGCAAGGCAAGGCAAGGCAAGGCAAGGCAAGGCAAGCAGGGCAAGGCAAGGCAAAGCAAGCGAACCAATCGACTGACCGACCGAACCAAACAAGTAAACACACAAGCAAGCAGGAAGCCGGCAGCAAACCAGTCAAAACCCAAGCGCCTCTGTGACCCATCTGCTGGTAGCAGAGTCGATCTCCTGGACAGCTTGCAAGTGTGGGCGTCTGCCCCTATGGCCGATTCCGATAAGAAGGAAGTGGCAAACACTCTTAATGACTGGGCGCTGCCCTGATCGAAAGGCAAAACGCCCGAATCACCTTGAACCGTGGCAGGTGCAAATACATTGCGCAAGGGTCCCGATGCTATCCTTCAAACATCTCATTCGATAGTTTGAGCCGGCTATGGCTGGCAATCAGAGCTCTGTGTTTGGCATGTTAAGAACGTTCTGACTTGTCGAGGAAGGAAAGTAGCGATTATCTTCATTGAAGGCGAACTAAACATGACTGCTGCGTTGGCCGAACTTCTGAAAGAAATGGACTCGCCAAACTCTCCTCCTCCGCTTCCTCTTCTGATTCTTGTTCTCTCGGCTGCCCATGTCGCCTACAAGAGCTGACAGAAGGGAGCAGTCAGTCCAACAGCATACGAATCAAACAATGTCAACCAAAATAGGCTTGTCTCAACACGGGAATCCTCTGGCCTTCCCACCGTGCTGCCAAAGCTGTGAGTCATTCTGTGCTTAGGATTCGGCCTCGCATACCGGCGCTTCACCAAACGCGGCATGTGCCATCGCCACAAGTCGCCCAATCGAGGTCCTTCTTCACGGCTGAACAGGGATTCTTAGATCATTCACCTGAACATTTCCCCGGCATAACGGTTTCTCTTTTGGCTGGTGGAAAGGGTAAATGATCCAAATGTATCTTGCAAAGGAGCACTGTTGAAACTCCGAGAACTTGCTTTCTCTCTTCCTCCCCGTCGGTCCAACGTTCTGGGTGAATTCTGAGTCACATTTCACCAACCCTTTGGGAGCCAAACAGGCGGGGTGCAGAAAATCTCAAATGTCCATCCTCTTCAGTTTGTTGTTGGATGTTATTCTTAGGGTAAATTCACTAAATGTCCAATTTAGCACTCGGGTTTGATAGGCTGCATGGCCCTGCATGCACGTGTGTTGAGCCGGCCGGCAGCACCCACTTCCAAGTCAGCTGCGACCGCACAGCCCAGTATACCACTAACACGACTGCCGAACATAAAATTGTACAGTACATAGGCCAAAACTACCACTTTACAGACCTCTCAAAGGAATTCTTGAGTATATCCTGGATAGGTGGTGTGTTGATCCCCCCTCAACCCAAAACAAAGTCGACCTAGTAACTCTTGGGCACTGCATCCTTGCACTGAGAGGTCACTCTGCCACTCTCGGATCAATTTGAGGGCAGCTCACACGAAGGAAGTATGAACGTCTGTTCCAGGTACTGGGAGTTACTGGGATGTCATCAAATGCGTGTCCAGTGACGAAAGCTGCACTGCTGGAATCAGCAGGAAGGAGTTATCTTGGCAATGGCTGCGCATCCCATCAGGAAACACACCAATCAGCCCAAAAAGGGCCCCCAAAAACCGGGGCAACATCGCAGGTTTTCGGAAATGGGCAGCTGACACAAAGGACGCCAACCCCGAAGTATGTCAAACTGGTCTGCTCAATTGACTGGCCAGAAAACATGTTGACACTTTTTGGGCTTTTGCACAACTACTGATGAAGATACCTCTCACCACAGAGTTCAGAGCTTCCCAGCTGAACAAATACCCAGACCTGCAGTGGACTGTTCTCCCTTGGTTCAATCTGAAGGGACACCCACTAAAAAAATCAACAACAGCCGGGCACCGCTGCTGGGGGTCTGGTGCCGGCGCCGCCAGTGCCCCGCTTTCTCGCTGCTTCGTTGCCCTCGCCACTTACTCTCCCATGGACGCAGCCTCTCTGGCCGCAGGCTCAGCTCTCCTCCTGGCAACGCACCACGCAAGGCACTCTGCAACAAACATAGCACCTGGAAGATCAGTTCCTCAACAAGGGATCCCTTGTCAGCTTTCTTGGTGAAAGAGATAATTTGAGTTCACTGTGCAAATTGTCAGTTGTAAACTGCATCAGCAAAATGAGAAACCTGGCTAAATAATAAAGCAAACTCTCAGAATTGCAACCTGGCAACAACCAGTGCTTACTTTTCGGCGGCCGCGTAGCAACATCATACATAACGACGCATCGACAACACAATGCACAAACACAATTTATGCTATCTGATTCTACCACGAAATCAAACTTGGATGCAACGCAGCGACATGGCTGGTCTGTCCTGGTTCCAGGCGCTCTTGCCCTTGCCCTTGCCCTTGCCCTTGCCGCCGCCGCCGCCGCCCTCGCCTGCATCGCCACCGGCCAAGGCAGGACGGGTCGGGCGCTGCTTGGTCAAGGTCTGAGGGAAGACCTGCTGAGGAAGGTGCAGCACTTCCCGGAGATACTCAATGCCCTCGTTGGTCAGGGTGTAGTAGTGCCAACGCCAGCTGTAGATTTCCGTGAGGTAGTTCCGCGATGCCAGCGACCTCAGCACCATCATCACGTGCAAGTTCGGGATGTCCTCCAGCTCGTTGTGCTTGCACGCCTGGTGGTCCTTCTTCACCACCATCACACCCTCCTTGAAGAGGTGCTCCAAGATTTGGCGCCGCGTCTTTTTAGGAATGAGCACCATGATGTCGCTACCGGCACTTTGGCGAGGGACGGGCAATATCCTTGAGCATGTCCGGCCAAACATTTGCAAGAAACTGGCTTGTAGCATGTGACGCTGCCATCACAACAACCCTTGTGGCAATTACCTGGCAAATACATGGATCACGGATAGCTTTTGCGGTAACATGTGCACGTGGTCACGAACGAAACGCTGAGTCTATCAACTCTATCAACACCAACAATCATTCGCTCACGACTCAGCAACAGAATGGCCGGATGGCCGAATGGCCCTTCTCGGATTCACTTCTGGAAAACTCAGGGATCCAAAGGGGCAACATGGCATCTATGGATATAGGTTGAAACATTAGGCTAGCCACTCTTTGAATTGCCGCACTCGGTAAAGAAGGGTAGGAAGCCCTTTCATGCTGGTTCTGGCAGGCTCAGCACAATCAACAGCTAATCATTCGCTGCAGCAAAAACGAACCATCGGCCGTAGCCACTGCGCGCACTGACGGGGTAAAGCAAGGCAAATGTGGGCTCAAGCATTCTTCGAACCGCAAATATGCCATGCTGCCTTTCATCACCCTCCAAAATCTGGTCACGTCAGGTCTCGAAAGGATTCGAATCCAACCTGTGACATCCCTGAAACAAATATACAGTCTTCGCATCGCAAGTGCCCTTTTTCCCCGTTCCACGCGCTTCTCCAAGCTCACATCAGTATGTGGGATGCTTAGCTCTCCTCCTGGCCGCAGAAAATTGAAACAAACAACTGGTGATAGCGTTCAATCGTTGACGCATGCATATCTGGAAACTGGCGGTGCAACTGGGTTGGTCCTTGACCCTTTCCATCAATCTAAACATATTCTTAGGGAAACAACAAAAAGGTGAAGGTCAAGGGACCTTGAAACAAACCCAACGGTGGATCTGCACGAGTTGCTCCCTGGGAAACATCCAACAACGAGCATTCAGGGGGACCTCTATCTCAGCAAAACACCGAACAAATGCACACCAAGGTCAAGCTAACAGGGCCAAACAAAAAAACACGCTGGTAACAACTGCGCATTGCACACTTTCCGGCGACCGCTTAGCAACAACATACATAACGACGCATCGACAACACAATGCACAAACACAATTTATGCTATCTGATTCTACCACGAAATCAAACTTGGATGCAACGCCGCGACATGGCTGGTCTGTCCTGGTTCCAGGCGCTCTTGCCCTTGCCCTTGCCCTTGCCGCCGCCGCCGCCGCCCTCGCCTGCATCGCCACCGGCCAAGGCAGGACGGGTCGGGCGCTGCTTGGTCAAGGTCTGAGGGAAGACCTGCTGAGGAAGGTGCAGCACTTCCCGGAGATACTCAATGCCCTCGTTGGTCAGGGTGTAGTAGTGCCAACGCCAGCTGTAGATTTCCGTGAGGTAGTTCCGCGATGCCAGCGACCTCAGCACCATCATCACGTGCAAGTTCGGGATGTCCTCCAGCTCGTTGTGCTTGCACGCCTGGTGGTCCTTCTTCACCACCATCACACCCTCCTTGAAGAGGTGCTCCAAGATTTGGCGCCGCGTCTTTTTAGGAATGAGCACCATGATGGCGCTACCGGCACTTTGGCGAGGGACGGGCAATATCCTTGAGCATGTCCGGCGAAATACTTGCCAGGGCCCGACCACTACCACACACTGTCTCTCTCTCTCTCTATGCGTCCGTTTGCCTCCGTCGGACTTTATAAACGCGAAGTCCTAATGTTGGTGTGCCCAAGCACGCAACCGCTTGGATCATGATGGAAAGGGTACGGATCCAATCATGGGAAAGTGATGGGAATGTTTACACACTTCGAGTTGTCCACCAAATGTGCCTTCATGGTCTACTGGCTTGAACAAATTGCTCCGCAATGCTGGGACGCCACTTTTGATGCACTGCCACAGGAGGCACATGGTGCCCTTTTCATGGCAGAGTGTGAAACACAATGCGCCGGGGGGGGGGGGAGGGCTGGTAGGCAGAAGGTTAATGGACAACTTGGTTATTAAACAAAAACACGTGTTGGTTAACCATGCTCATGTCACGTACCGCCTGACGCTCTGTTGGTTTGGCCAAGACAACATGTTCTGGCGAGGGGCATATCACAAGCAGGGCCAGCTGGCGCTTCTTGGGCAGCAATGAGCTTCTCAATTCTTGCCCGCTGTCAATGCTTCTTTCAACCTATCCCTCAGCTTCACCTCGTCTGCCCCAATCAGCTCCTCGCCTACCTGGCTGCGGCAAAGATTGAATCCACGGAACCCAACGACCCTTCCCGAAGTGGCCCTCGAACCAGTTGGAACTTGGCTCAGCAAACTGTTAACTTGCTTATGTTGCCGAAATTGGCTCAAAATAAGTGTTCTGGACCTCTGGAGAAGGGGCAAAACCAAATAAGTGTTCATGAAATTCTGTCAACGATTCATAAACACTTATTGACAAAAAGGGCTGAAAATTAGGTGATTTCAACGATTTCAGAACAGACACAACCTGGCAGGATCCAGCGCACACCTGCACAAACGCTGCTTTTTTACCGGCCGCTCCAGATGCTCATGTCTGATGGATGGTCAGGTCCCCCCCAAGCCTTCAAAGGGCTTTAATTGCAGCATGGCTCAAACAAATGTGTATTTTGAAGGATGGTGGACTTGTGGATGGGTTTGGATTGGTCCTGATAGGTTTGGATTGGTCCTGATGGGTCCTGATGTACTTTGAAGGGTGGTCTTGATGGGTCTGGATTGGTCCTTGGTCTGGTCTGGATTCTGGAAACTTTTGAGCACTGCTGCCACTACCAAGTCAGTCAAACATCCGGCTATTGTTGCCAGTTGTCAACTGAGCCCACCCCAAAAAAAAGGAGTGGCGTTCAGGAGGTCCTCAAGACTTTCATC